AAATGGGCACTTTTTTGGGATACCCCTGTAACAAAAGTGCGAAGAAGTAGGCTAAGAAAAAACTGTGAAAGCTTTGAAATGGTCTGAAACTTCGACTGTTTATGGACGTTCAACCTTCTCTCATGATTTATTTTCTGAAATTCGACATGTGGCAAATTCTAGAAAAAACATTCCTCATATGTCTGAGCAGAGAAATAACTTTTCAGTACAAAAATCTGAATACTACATTTGCAGAGTATCTGGAAGTGGTGGAAAAAGCTATTCGAAGCCACAGTTCTAAATGTGCAGAGAACATAAAAGAGGTGATGACATTGAATCTTCTGAGACTGAATTTTTGGGCTACACATCACCGCCAGCTGCGCGCGATTAGAAGCCTAAGGGTTGGGCACGAAAAGCTTGCCATGAGAAGAACAGATATAGTGGTGATCTAAAAATTTGTTGATAACTCATACACATGGAGATGAAGCGTCGCAAAGGTGATTTTGCAGCAACATTTAAATCTCCGTTATTTATGTCTGTAAAACCATATAGAAACGGAAATGTGGTCCTTGAGAACAAGACAAAATCGCTTTATTAAGCCGCAAGTGAGAAGTTCCTATAAAGAAGATACGTGCAGAAAAGCAAAAAGTATTTAACAATTTGATTTGCTGCATGCGAACTGTTGACTCATGAAGTGAACATAATAACATCTATAGTTAAAGGAGGAAAATACTGCATTCTGGCGAGTTGGCTCATATACGCGATGCTGGCGATGATGTGGAACTAAAACGTAAAACGATGCGTTCCAAATCCGGACATTGTCATGTTTTACAGAAATCAAGTACCAAAACTATAAATTCTATGAATTTGATTACAGGGCTTTGAGGAAATGCATCAGCTTGCTCTAAGTGCTGCCGGACGAGAGAAGTTATCCAAGCTATTCACGTGAGTATTACAGTTGAACAGAAAACGCTTCTAGAAATCGAACATTTTTTTCACAAAACATTGTATCAGAAAACAGTTTAAATAGGACTGAGTGATCGGATGTGGTTTTTGGTAATTGAATCTCGCAAGAGATGCAGCGCGGAAGGCCTTGCGCTACTCTACAGTCCTGCCCAGTTGTGCCTTCGCAACGTCATGTCATTATTAGACCTGTTTCTATATTAGTAGTAGTAAACAGAAACAATTGTTTTTGAAAATCAGTAAAACTATACCTACTTCGTCCAAGCACTAGGCAAATCAACATGCTTTTTGACAAGCTGCACAATTTTGAGCTTTATTTTCATGCAGCTGATATTGCAGATGTCGTCTCGTTGAAATCTTTATGTGAACTAATGATAGGATTTAAATCATAGATTGAATCCACAGTGGACTCAAGAGACTAATCTAACCAGCACAGATTTGCAGTACTTCTTCTCTATTATATATTCTCAATTCCAAGGCGCCGTGCAGTATAGTGGAGACAACAGAAAGGTTCGACATTTTTTCAATTTCGATTGAAGTAGAATTTTCTTTCTTCGAAACCTAATTACGGTAATTACTTTGAAGGGATATGCTGATGGTCATGGTATACCGGATATGTGCACCATCATGACCAACGAAAGTAACACTCCTATCGAGAACATCGCAAAATTCAACGAGTACATGACGATTTTCTACTCGGTGAGAGCGCCTATCAAGATTTAAACGTTACCGGATGTCTGTAAAAGTACTGAACCGTTACTCGCATTTAACAGCATTAGAATGCCGGTATTAGAAATACTTTTTACTTAGATGGCCTGTCTTCACTCGTCGTGCAGACACAGCATTGTTTCCATCCTTTCTGTCTCTCGCTAGCGTCATCCACGATGTTGGTATTGAATTGCGGCGGCGACGTTCGCGAGGTCCAG